TACTAAGGCTTTGTCATTCTATTTAGCTACTTTTGTGATTTACACATTTCTGCTTCCTAGCACAGCCAGGTAGACCATTTCTAGATCACCTCCTGGCTCTTTGAGCAGAAATGATAATGCAGATTAATTGCCAAGTGAGGAGGATGAGGGAGAGATGATAATGCAGAAATCTGCACTGCTAAGCCTTTAGCTTCTTTCTTCTGGCTTTTGTCCTTTATTTTCATCTGATGATCTTGCCAGCTCCATGTTTTCTGCCCCATGGTGACAATGCTCACTTAACTTTCTCTATCTGTTAAAGAGCAGCTTTATTACTTTAGGACAGGACTACTTTAGGACAGGACTACATATACCTCTTCTTTTCTCTTCTCTATAACATGGGGGATAAGGGTTATGTTGTTCATTGCAATAGTTGCAAACAGTGTGACAGAATGCATGTCACCCAGATTGGGTGATTCCGTCAGAGAACTGCTTTCTTGCCACTGGGACACAGGACCACAGTATTATACCTGGGCATCGCACCCAAGACTAGAAGAGACTAGCTTAAATGCCAAACAGGAACTCAGGTTTTTATACAATCCAGAAATAGGGCCCATCCCCTCATAGACAATAAAACAAAAATAAAAAAATACAGGTGTACCTCGGTTTATGAATGCCTCAGGAGCCAATTAACCTGCCAGCATGTCTTTTGAGCGTGGGAAGAAACCAGAGTATCCGAAGGAAACACCTATGCTGACTAACCAGTATAAAAAAAAAAATATACTTACCTCTTTTCAGCCCACTCCAGTCCGGTCACATGATCTGGCTCCCTTGTGTCAGCCAGCGGCAGCTGCAGTAAAATGGAGGGAGCGCTGACAACAGCTGGAACAAGTTAACCTATGGTTGACGTCACTGCAACAGGCTTTTTTTTACCAGCCATTGTCAAGTGCTCTCTCTCTCTTCTCCCCTGCAACTGCCACTAGCTGATACAGGGGATCATGTGACTTGAGTGGGCTAATAATAGGTACATATATACATTTTTTTTACACAGGTTAGTCTGCAAGGTGTTAGGACAGTCAGGGGATGTAACTTGTAGTTTAAAGTGCCACATTAGAGTTTCCAGCATGCATTGTTAAATGTATAGTGCTTTAGAAAATCTACTATAGCAGCAGTAAGAAAACGTATATTTGAGCTTTTTGCTGAGTATTAATTTTTAGTATCTTCATTGCTTTGCATGTTAAGGTTCCAATATGTGCAAGGACCTCTAAATGCCTGTGCTTTATACCTGCATCAATTTTTTCTACAGATAGAGTCCCTTTTTTATTTGGTATTAAAAGCATTAATCTGGAAATTCAGAAGTTGGTTTTCTCGTATTGTGTGAATGCACAGTGTAACAAATACAGCTCAGTTGTGGAACTTTTGCTATAATAGACCAGAGAGTCTGTGCAGGGCCTAGAAGCAGGATCACCACCCATCTGCTCCTCTTGCCAAAGGCCTCCTTTTTCAAGGCAAACAACATACCTAATTATGTGTGGCTAGTTCTGCCTACCTGCCATTGATCTATATATAATGATTGAATCCCGTTTACTACATACATTGTATAATAACACAGATTCTGCCTATCTTATAACTGTTGCTGGCTACCTCATATAGGCATTTTTAAATTTCTAGTCTGACAAAATATTCTTAATGCAGTGTAGTCATTCTGCACAATAGCAAAGCATTTGAAAAATGCATGGCTAGAAAGATCCAAGGAGTTAGGCACCTGACAAATGTCTCTTGTTTGATGACTCTTGAATTCTACATAAGGCTGTCCACCATGCAAAAACTTCCAAAAGTGAAAAACTGCATATTTTGCATACTGCTGAATATAGCAAGGGTTGCGTATGTGTCTATGATTCTGTGTGGTAGTGTGAAGAAAAATCTAATTGGGGTAAACAAAAAAGAATATACCTGGATTGGTGATCATTATGCTTTCATTTATCCTCAGATAAATGGTTAAAACAATTTTTCTCCATCTACAAACAAGAATATTAGGCACTTTCCACCTCAGTAAGCAGCGTGATTCTACACATCCGGCTTGGCAATAAAAAGAGATTCATTTCCCCATAAGGAACAACAGAAAAACCATTGAAAAGATGCAGAGGCATGGATTATGTCCAATATGTCAAATAATGTTTATGACCTATCTTGCAAAGGAAGAAAAAGAAGAAAGAGATGCTGAATGTGGTTTCATGATGGGAGAAGTCTCTGTAGATTTAAACCACAGAGCACAATTATAGCTACTAGAATGTCAAAACCTTTGGCAATATAAACATTATATAAACTGTTGTCATAATATTTTTAAAGAACAGGTCACTTTGTCAGATCAGATAAAAATGTCCACTCAGATGGAGTGTAAGGAGAGCATTCTTTACTCCATGATACAATATTTAATATATAGACCAGCTAGATGATGAATACTGGGCTTCATGTGTAGTAACTGAAGAAATGGAAAGCAAAGTGCCTGTGTTTTCTATAGCAACTAGATTCTAGCATTTTCCTAAACTTAAATCAAGAACCTAAGTGATTGCTATGGAAAATACACTTTCCATTTTTTCAGCTTTTTTCCATGAGGCCTTATAAGTACTAAATCATGCACACTATCTACAAATTATAATGAAGTAATTTTGTTGGTGAGCCAGCTCAGTCTTTAGATGTATTAAGTGCATGTTGGCTACATTGCTTTGTTCCAGTAAATGCACAATTAACAAAAATAGATTTTTATTGATAAATTAATTCTCTCTGATCTTTTTATGTGAATCCTAGATGGCAAGAGTAGTAAATTAACTTAATCTTAAGTGTACAGTACAGGACAAAGGCTGAGTATTCACAGACCCTGGGTTATTGGCTCATACCTTCAGTTGATTGGGCACTGGCAAGCTTTTGGAGACACACCTCCTGGCTTGCTCCGCTGTACCCCTACACCACCACTCCATGAGTTTTTTAATGTCCTAAGGTGATGAACCTCTTCTCCCTTATGGAGAAATCACTCTTAGCTTAACAAGTTTAATATTTTAAAACTCAACTCTTTCACTGTCTTCTAATACTACAGTAGAAGCCATGCATCTGGATATAGTCAGCCACGGGATGCTGTATAGGTCCAGGGCCATGGTCCATCCCTATGGACCCATAAGACCCCTTCGGGGTATGTCCACTGTCACTGGCAGACCTTGGAACTAAAACTAACCACTCAAACTTTAGTCTTGGGTGGATTACCTGGTAATACATCACACCACTGGTCACACACTTTACTGCCACTTCCGTCTAGAGCAGTTATAAGGTACTCAGGCACTTCCTTCCACCTTTTCACCATGAGGACTTCAATACAGGATAGTCTACACTCAGGTGGCTGCAATGTCTTTCTGGAAGCGCTTAGCCTGTATTTCACACCCTTCGTCATGAATACCCCTTAAGGGAATATGGTATAAACCAGGTGAAAACCAGACAAACAGGTGCTATACAAGAATGACAATGCTTCCCTTGCACTGGTGCAGGATCTGATTTTGACACCGTTCTCTTCTTCCGACTCTAGTTCCATTTCAGACACGCAACAAGTGGCATACCTGACAAAGACAGATATTTCTTCCCGTATGTCAAAACTCCTTGGACAACTAGCGGCTTTAATACATCTCTGTTCAGGGCAGCAAAACGCCAAGCCCCTTCTCCAGTTCCTCCATATCTACCTGAGTTGGATCCCAGTATGCCTGGCCTAGAAGAGGCAGACATAGAAGGGAATGAGGAGGAATGAAGGCAGTTTTAGTGGAGGCTGCGGAAGATTTTTCACCCCCCAGACTCCATACATCTGAAGCTGAAGCTTTACACAATATGCTTGCTAATGTGGATATGCTTACTTCTACTGTGGGCTAAAGCATTTTCACATTTGATTCTCCTCCGTCTCACCAGGCCCCTTTTGGATACAAAGTGAGCTGAAAAATTTATAAAGACATTCCCCATTCATGAACAAATATGTTTAAACAAATTGTTTATGACGATTGGGTCACTCCAGAAAAGATTTTCACTCTTTCAAAAATCATTGTGGAACTTTATCCAGTGGAACAACAGTTCAGTAGAGGTGGTCTTGTCCGGAAGGTGATCCTGCTGTATCAGTCTTAACCTCCCTAGCGGTATGATTATGTCAGTATTTCTGTGCTCAAAGCGGTACATTGTTTTCAATGGAAATATGTTGTTTTGTTATTGTAGGCCTGTAATTCTTAGGAATAACTCACTGAAATCTGTTTAAACAAGAGTCTAGTAGACATCCTGGGTGCAATAAAGTTTATAAGAATATAATAAAAAATAGCTCGTCTCATTCCCATCTCTTCTTTCTCTCTGTTTCACCTCTTTACCATATTCTAACTAACTATATTTTTCATAAGGTACAGAGTACTTACAGACACACAGGTGTAACAATACTCCTCAAATCTAATCTATAATGTTCAGGTACGGAATCCTAAGACATATATGCCTTGAGTTGACACGACTATTGTTATATACCTCACTGTCCTGTTTCTTTAGATCTCCCTACACAAGGACTATTGTACCCCGTATTTCTATAAATTACATACTGCTAACATCATTGCTATGGGTATATACTATGCCTTCCCCTTAGGACTGTATTTCAGGTTGAGCTACGATTTACTTATATGTCCTGTACCCGTCTGCGTTACGGGAGAACATGCTTAAAGACTTGCCAGACTGCGATCCGTATTTGTTTATGTCTTGTTATGCCTTTCATATCTCAATAAAAATTTCTTGGAAAAAAAAAAAAAAAAAATAATAAGTTAAATAATGTAAACAAATCAAACACACGGAACTCTGTCCAAACAATATTATATAGACATTGCATATTCTAGAAAACATCACGGGTGTGGTATATTTTGAAACACGGGATGCGACATCGCAATCAGGACAGTGGAATCCTTGCGACAGTGGAATCCTTGCGATCCATCAGTGTGCCCTGATGATCTGTGTAGCCCCAGCAGTGCCACCTGTCAGTGCCTATCAGTGCCAGCTGTCAGTGCTCATCCATGCCACCTGCCAGTGCCCATCAGTGCCACATCAATGCCACGTATCAGTGCCTACCAGTGCACATCAATGCCACATATCAGTGCCCATCTGAGCTGCCTTTCAGTGTCACCCATCAGTGCCAGTCAGTGCCACCTATCAATGCCAGTCAGTGCCACCTATCAGTGCTGCCAATCAGTGCCACCTATCAGTACCAGTCAGTGCCGCCTATCAGTGTGCATCAGTGCCGCCTATCAGTGCCTGTCAGTGCTGCCTATCAGTGCCGCCTAACAGTGCCAGTCAGTGCCACCTAACAGTACCAGTCAGTGCCACCTATCAGTGCCAGTCAGTGCTACCTATCAGGGCCACCTATCAGTGCCCATCAGTGATGCCTGTCAATGCCCATCAGTGCCACCTACCAGTGCCTCCTCATCATTGCCCATCAGTGCCACCTATCAGTGCAGCCTATCAGTGCCCATCACTGCAGCCTCATTAGCGCACATCAGTGAAGGAGAAAATCACTTATTTAAAAATTTTATAACAAAAACTAAGAAAAAAAAATAAAAAACCCAGAGGTGATAAATAAAAAATTTCATATGGGTACAGTGTTGCATGACCACGCAATTGTCATTCAAAGTGTGACAGTGCTGAAAGCTGGAAATTGGCCTGGGCAGGAAGGGGGTATAAGTGCCCTGTAGGCTAGTGGTTAAACTGTAGCTAAATGGACTAGGGCAGTGAACGACTAACACTACTCTGTAGTCCAGGACTGTGCCTTAATCGATCAATTACAGCAATTACCTTCTGCTCTTCTATTTTGAGTGGATGCCCTTAAACAACTAATTTCCAGCTATCTATACAAAATGCCTCACACATATGCCCTTTGAAGGAGGATGTCTTTTAGGGGAGGCACGTGGCAAATTTATAAAAAATCTCACAGGAGGAAAGTTTCTACCTCCACAGCAGAAGACCTCAAAACCCTCTCCAGAGGGGCCTTAACCCCTTCAAATTGCAAAACATCTAATCACTCTACTCAGTCTTCAATGTCAAAACCTAAGTTCCCTTCCCTTTGGCTCAGGACTTGGCCCACAAAGCACACCAAGTCTTCCTCAAAGCTTCCAAGTGAAGGTGCATCCTCACTGCTATGCATGGGGGATATCTGTTACAGTTTGCCCCTCTCAGATGTCCCAGACCTATGGGTTCAATCAGTAGTATTAGAGGGGTGCAAATTAGAACTCAAACTCTACCCCTCACCACTTTCTTCTCTCTAATCTACCAAATCTACCCAAGAGCAGTCAGTTTAAACATAGAGTATCCCCTGCCAATTAAATCCAAAGTAAGGCTGCTAGCACGAACAATGAATAAAAGATACATCCACATAAGATCACATAAATAACATCGCTTGTGTAGCGGTATTACTGAATGGACAATCCTATTCTATAACACAAAAAAATCACACAATAAAATATCTATTAATGGCATGCCTCTATCAGCTGGGAAAAGCTTTTTTTATGAATCGATAGCCTCCTATCCATTGAAGCTGGTTTCTTTTTCAATATCTCTTTTGTAAATACTTGGCAGTAAGAGGAAAAGAAAGCTACATAGTGCTCACCATAAATTTAAAATCATTTATTAAAGACCAAATAAGTAATCTATGATGAAGTGTTTAGAGCAGAGCTAGGAGATGTAAGAAGATTCTGTGTTGTATTGCAGTGTGTCTATGTGAAGTGCTGGGAGTTTGACAACGGAGGCTCCCACAATTGCTATACTAATCTCATTTGTCTGCATGCTTTCGATTGTGTGCATAAGTTGGGTGTATAGTATTATGTGGTTGAAATATTTGTTTTTAAATAAATTATTTTTAATTTGTGGTGTGCATTTTCTTCTTACTTGCTGAGTATTTACAGAGAGAGACAGATATTGAACAGCAACCATCTAAGGAGGCTACAGATTTGTAAACTTTTCCCAGCTGAAAGGGGGACAGGTGTCCAGCTGCAATCACTGCAGATAATCTCTAGTTGTGCAAACAGTTTTGAAAAGCTGCAGTCTGGACATCCTATTGTTGCAGTGTAAGGGCTCAGTGGCTGCAGCTATCCGTTGTCAATTTCAGCTTCAGGAATCAGTAGATTCTTGCCAGTGGGATTCACAATGTGGCAAAATTGTGAACTTAAATGTCACTTCTAAATGCAAATACATGCATATAATGATTTTAAATAGTATATATTTTTTACAGATATTAATAAAGTGCCTACAAATTTACACAACTCTGTACATATTATGCATTCACATCAGTCCCTAACCTCAAAGAGCCTACAAACCAATGACCCTATCTCGCGTGCATACAGTACATACTGTACATATACTGGCTTCAATTTAGACAGTAGCCCATCAACCCATCCGGCATGTGTATGAAGTGTGCAAGGAAATCAGGGTATCAGGGGAAGCACACACAAGTACAGTGAGATCTGGCCAATTCCTTGCTGGTCAGGCCCTGGTTGGGATTCAAACCAAGGACCCCAGTGCTGCATGGTAGAGTATAACTCACACTATTTGGCACAGCCACTCTAGTTGCTATAACATAGCAATTTAAGCCTTTTACTTGTCCAATTTTGATATTAGTGGGATCAGCAGATCTAGAACTTTTGCCACCCTTCTTGGAAGTATGTAATATATGACACAGGTAATCAAGCCATAGACATCAGATCACTTGTTAACACACTTTATGCAAATTTAGATGAGTCATGCAAATGTCATAGTTTGCGCTGCTCGCAGTTCAACACATTACTAGCCAAGAAATACAGTGTTCCAGCTAATTCATTACAGGATGGCAGTTTAAATTGCAGCACATCATACACTTAGTGAGCATCATAACAACTGGCAAATCTCATAGACATCTACGACACCTGCCCATCTATGGACAGCCTATCCTGTAGTAGAAGAATGACATGGAAAAACAGCAACAGTATACAAGTCTTCTGAGAAAAATAGCACAACCCCGGGAAGTAAATAAGACCATCAAGTGCTAAAGCCATTAGTTTTTTGGCAGCCAGAGTCATGTCAGGAGCCAAGTGGAAGTCACCGGACTTTCTTTATTATCTGTGGTGTGAGATTTATTTCAATAGGTCAAAGGGACGTTGTTGTGTCTGTTTTTTTTTTTTTAAGTCTTCTTATACCATGTGATCTATTTGGCAGAAAAGTCCGGGAGCTGATTATTTTTCCAGATGTCAGAGAAGGTCTATTGCTGTCACCAAGTGACAGAAATTACTGATACTTGTTTTTAATATGTAAAAAGGAGTCTTTAAAAACACTAACAAAAATATAGGCTTTTCAGAAATTAACCTAATCATGACTGGGGCTATTTCATACATTAGCAAATAGAGAATATGTTGCTATTATGCAAGACTGAGTGTAGACTCAGCTGCTAATGACATTTAACAGCTTTTTGTATTAACACAAATTATACTGTATTTTCTACGGACAGATTTGTCTTTCTTTTGGTAGACTGATATAAAAAATAGCATTGTAATGGATGTTTAGTTTTCATAAAAATACTGAAAAGAATTGAAAAAGTAAGCATTTTCTTAAATTTCACCTATTAACTATCCCCTTAAATTTTGTAAACAGTATTTTAATCTAATTGATACCCAACATTTTACATTTTGTGTTTATTACTACTAGTCTTGAAATAAATATGTGCATTTCAGTTTGCAAAGTATATAAACGTTTGCAAATCCTTTATCATACATGTTTTATTAACGTATTTTTATAAATACTGTTTTTTTTGTATACCTTACAGTATTTCTCACCCTGTATAACGATAATTTGTATTATATATTATTTATTTCAGGTACTTATATAGTGCTGTCAATTTACGCAGTGCTTTACATATATATATTGAACATTCACATCAGTCCTTAACCCTCAAGGGGTGTACAATCTAAGGTCCCTAGCTTACATTCATACATACACATACTAGGGACAATTTAGACAGGATCCAATTAACCTACCAGCATGTCTATGGACTGTGGGAGGAAACCCATGCAAGCACAGGGAGAACATGCAAACTCCATGCAGGAGGCGCCATGGTCGTGAATCGAACCCATGACCCATTTACTGCAAGGCAGACGTGCTAACCAGTAAGCCACTGTGCCGCCCCCAATATCAATATCAAGAGTGTTTGCCACATCCAAGTGTGGCAAGACTCAGCAGGTCTTTATCACATGTTCTGGGCCATCCCACTTGTAAATCTCTTTTGGAGAACAGTTTCCTGATATGCCACTGACCACTTGGTGAACTATGTCACCCTCATCTCGTTGTATGCTTTTTTGCCATTTTTGGATTAAATGCAGCCAAAATCACAGCGGGTGGTAGAAAATCGAGGACTGTAATATCCATTATGGTAAAAAAAAAGTGATACTCCACAAATGGATTTTTCCAAAGCCATCTTCCGTAAACATTGGACTAAAAACAACTTTTTGGATGGAAACACAGACAAAATATTTTTGATGTGTGACAATGGTTTATTAATACTTTACCATCTTTGACAAAGCAAAAGATTATAAACAGCTTTGCGTTAAGCTCTTGGTATACCCTAAGAACTCTTCAAATGAGCTCCTGACCCACCTTTAATCCTCCTTTAGTTGTTCTTATTGACTTGAGATATTGGCCCACCACTTGTGGATGTTTTTCTTGTTTTCTTTTGTGTGCACCTGTGTCCCATAATACTTTAATATATTATCCTCCATTTATAACCCTCATAGACTTGTTCCAGTATGGCTTGTGTTCTAAAAAAATTGGATATAAAACTATAGCAAATACAAATGTAAGATGTACAGTATAGGGACTAGGTTTATATGTAACAATGTTAATCATAAATCAGTTTTACTGCTGTAGGGGAGCCCTCCTGTGCAAAGTCATGTATATATACCTGATTTTTTGCACTTCTGCCATAGGGGGCATGCGTACGCCATCGGTGGATCACTGCTGTTGCGAACTCAGCAGAAGCTAATCTGCGAGTACCGGTAAACAGATGTCCTCCGGCACCCACCAATCATTGGGCAGGACACAGAACAGCTCTTTGCCTATGTAAACAACGCAGAGCTCTGTTCTGATGGGGGCGGGGGGTGAAGGAAAGCTGGGAATACGATCCTTCACTTCCAGTGTCGGTGCATATTTTTAGTACTGTATTAGTCTCACTTGTTTCCCCCAAGTGTCAGTTAGTGTAAAAATCTATAAAAAAAATCCAGTATAAATCCCATAGTTTATAGACGCTATAGCGTTAGCGCAAACTAATCAGTATACGCTTATTTTTTATACCAAAAATATGTAGTGAAATAAATTTTAGCCTAAATTTATGAAGAAATTTGATTTTTTAAATTTTTTTATTGG